TCTTTCCTTTCCTCAAGTAGAATAAGGCTGTCCCTGAACCATGATGCCTACCAGTGAGGAAGGCGTGACACAAGCACTGACTTGGCCACAGCTGCTGGTGTTTCACTGGGTCATATGCACCCCACGTCTCCTGGGTCTGAGTCAGCACAGCTTCAATTACCCTACACTGCAGCCTTTCTGGCCTGACTGCCTTATAATTTACTCTAGGCCCCAGGAAGCTTTTGTCAGCCATGGTGGGGTTAGCTGAAACTCAGTTTCATGGTGAAACTCAGGTTTCATGGTGAATGTTTTCTTTCTGGCTGAGCTGGTCTAAATGCTCCTTCTGTGGACACTGGCAGAATCCTGCACTGTGCCATGTTCCCCTGTAGCAGAGCAGCCCTGAGTTTCAATGTAAGCCCCACAATCACTCCACTCTCCTTCCCTGAGGCACACAGACTGTCTCTTTACTGGGTGTGCTGGTGGAGTACTGCTGGGGAATGGGGGACAGGGTGGCATAGTGATGCATGATGGTTATCCTTTTGGCCTCTTCAATATCTCTTAATACAATGTTAAAACCAAGTAGAGTGATCACTCAGCTGACTCTTGGTTCTTCTGAAGCTGCTGGCTTGGGTGAGTAGTTGTTAAATTTAGTGCAGAAGGATGATGCCTGGAGACTTCTATTCAGCCATCTTCCTCCACCCTCCTCACCTGGCTCATATCTCTGAGCAGACAATTTTTAAAGACTTTTCAATGTGAAATAATTTAAAGCAATATGTTATAAAGTGTACATTGCTTCATATATTCTGGAAAAGTTCTGAAAAATCACTTTGTTTTTTTTTAATTTACTTTCAAATTCAAAAATAGAACTTAACATTTGAAATCAAATCCAATATCAAATTTTCATTGGATGTGTCTTATAAAGACATAGACCATCATGGCTTCAATTGAGAATCATTGCTCTTCAATTGAGAATCATTGCACCTTTCCCTCTCTCCTGAGAGTAAGTCTAATCATCGAATTCAATGAATACCATATCCAAACATTTTTATGATTTTTACTTCCAAAAATAAACTTTCAGCCGTTCTAGATTACGCTGTTCAACACAGTAGCCACTACCACAGGTGGCTATTAAGTACGTGAAATGTGGCCAGTCTAAATTGAGGCATA